TGACATTTTCGCACCCAAATCGATCCTAGTCTCTCTACGTTTCGACCTTTCGCCCACCATCACCACGCGACACGAGCACTTTCTCTTAAATTCGTCGCCATTGTTTTTTGACGGGTCAGCGCTCTCTGGTGAGAAAGAACGCCCTCTAAAAAAAGTAACACAATTCGGTAACTAAAAAATAAATATCTATGCCACTCCGAATTCAGCCAATAGTCGTTCTTGACTTAATTACGTTAAACCAATCAAAATGATCGTTTTTATTTTATTTACGTTTGTTTTAAAGTAGCGCGTGTTTTACTATTTGCAGTGAAATTTCTATAATAAAATATACTCTTTTTTTTTTTTTAATTCAAGCTTCAATCGATTAATAATAAATTTTAAAAATTGAATTTTTATAATTTATGTATTAATAAACCATTTTACGCCTTATTTTATCTGTAAATGTGTTCCGATTCTGATAGAACGCTCTTTTTTCCCCGACTCCGCTTCACCCCGTGGGGCACAAAGATCCCATTATGGGTTCTGTCGGGCACAAAACGGGGGGCCGAGGCCCGATATATTCGGGACAGATCTCTCTCCGAATAAATCCTGCGGTAAGAAGATCTAAAAATACATTATATGCACTTTATTATGTTGTAAAAGCCTATTTGATTGTAATTATGAGTTATTATTAAGGTATATGAATCTTTTTTTTTTTTTTTGTATGCAACCAATATGTTAATTGAGATGGAAAATATTTTTTCCTTTGTTTGAAACGAAAATAGTCATGCAGCTTTGCATTTGACTATCTGATTGCATAGGAAAAGATGAGGTACATTGAACCAGAAAAGCATTTTAAATTCGATGAAAATATATGAATAGATCATATTTTTTAGAGATTTTAGACTTTAGATTTTACGTTTTTATAAACTAAACACCGAAATTTAATTTATTAATTAAACAGAATTTTTATTAAAAAGTAAGAATTTTAATTTTATATATCAAAAAGCCCGTATTGTATTAGAACTATATTGAATTTTAGAGAGAAAATTTCTGCCGAAAATAATTAATAATTCAATTTTGACATTCCCGAAAAGTAATTATTAAATTCACTTCCACGTTTTAATTTTTTGAAAGTTTTCTCCATTGTAAAAAATGAATTTATTTATTTTATTTAATTTTTTTCCTATTAAAATCTCATCAAAAAAATCATTTAGTCCTGAAAAATTCTCGTTTTTAAATTCTATTTTTCCTCGAAAATTTTAATGTTAACTTTCCTATATACAGTCGACCCCTTATAACACTATTGATAATTCCGTTTTATATGAATTCCATGTTGTACGAGTCACTTAGATTTTAGAAATACGTGAGCCGTTCACAGCCCAGCATAGGTATTTGTAAAATCTAAGTGACTCGTACAACATGGAATTCATATAAAACGGAATTATCAACAGTGTTATAGGGGGGTCGACTTGTAATTAATTATTTCATCGTTTATGCATCTTTAGATTATTTCGTCAGATAATTTATTCTATATGTAATTATGCGGCGAGTAAATTATCCATTCTCCTAGAAAAATCAACAGTTAAGAATTTTTTTTACAAACATTTATTATATTTAAATTCAACATTTAAATGTACTGTACCTTCTTCTATGATTTTAAAACAAAAACACATTTAATTTAGTTGCGTTAAAATATATTAAATTTATCCTTTTAAAAAAATGTCTGAATCGATGATATATTATTAAGAACAATAATAGATTTTCGAATATTTTATAGAATTTAATGCATTTGTTTCGATAGAAAGACTAAATAATCAAACAAAGAGAACAATAAGTATCTCAAAATATAGACATTTCTGTTGCAACTTAAAAGGTAAATGTTTTCTCAAAGTTTATTTTCTTAGCTGTTATAAAAAAAAAAACAGGAAAAAATCAGGCGTTCAAAACTTTCTCTATAATATGCATTGTTACTTATTGTTATTTCGCATCCAAGTGGAAAATTTTACGGGAAGAAAAAAAAAACGAACATCAATGAAATAATAGCGAAAAAACAGTTTTGTTAAAATAATTATTCTATAGACACGTAAACAATTTAGTAAAAGTGATTTAGGCTGTGTTTAGACAGGCTCAAGTGATTTAGGCTGTGTTCGGGACAGGCTCAAGTGATTTAGGCTGTGTTCGGACAGGCTCAAGTGATTTAGGCTGTGTTCGGACAGGCTCAAGTGATTTAGGCTGTGTTCGGACAGGCTCAAATGATTTAAACTGTATTCGGACGGGCTCAAGTGATTTAGGCTGTGTTCGGACAGGCTCTTCTTACGTTACGTTACGTTATGTCTGGCCAAACAAAGAAGGCGTAACGCCTTAAATAATGCCTTCTTTAATTGAATTTATAGAATTTTTGATCATTCAAATGAATTTTAAACTAGTATTGATTTCTATTGTGTTTGTTTTGTGTCGTCATTTAATGTTGTGAGATAATTTTTCGATCCTATTTATAACCGTTACGGGATGCTTTTTTTTTTCCTATAATAATCCTCATTAAAACCTACTATACTTGGTTCGCATCTATGCTGGAAACATATTTTAACAAAGATCTATCGAAATAACTTAAGAACAATGCTTTAATCCGGCCTTGTTAAAATCATTGTGACGTAAAGTTCTTGGAAAGTAAAACTTCTTTAAAATTGAAAATTTTTTTATACCGGTAAAGAGTAATTTAAACTTTTCATTCATCTCGGTATAATAAACTAAAATTGACTCAGATTTATTTATTTTTTTTTAATTTCCAGTTTTCTCTTTACTAGTTAGTATTATTTATGTTATTTATGTTCGTGACTAGATGTCACTACTAATCGTGCCGTCATCTCTATTTAGGGGAAATTTTGAATTGAAATAACGTAACTTCCAGTTTATATCGGAAGTTCTTATATAGCTAATCGGGGTCTCCTATCCCTACGTTTTCCACGACTCTTCTCGTCTTTCATTTATCTAACACCATTCTTGAAATTAAGAAAGGACAGACAGACAGCGGAAGACTGGAAATTTATAGGTCTACAGTTTATATATATATATAATTTATATACACTAAAGAGACGGTAGTCCGAAAATTTTGGGGAACAGACGGACAGAGGTAAAGGAAATTACGGTGTCAGCCTAGTGCAGTGTTCAGCAAGCTTTTTCTATTCGCGGCACACCCACGACTCGACATGTCTCAACACGTCACATCAAAATGTTATTCCCCTTAATAACGTATGATATGATACTATTAATAGAATTACGTAATGCCACTAACTTATTATTATTATTATTAAAGAGAAATCAACACCCGTGAGCAAATTTATTTTACATTTAATTTCTTAAAATACATAAAAAATGCGCGGCTTGTAATAAAGAATAAACGAACATCATCTTATTTCGTATGTGCTGCGGTATTTACGAGATAACACTTGAAATACAAGCATAAGAAGCACAGCAACTGTGATAAAAAAAATATATAAATAAAGCTTGAAATTAATAGAATATGTAAAAGTTTACGTCAAACCTTACACTTTGTGACGGCACACCGGTTGCGGAACACTGGCCTAGCGCTCTGGAAGAACCCCCGAAAGAACAATTTTTTAACATGATTTTTTAATGGGTCCCCTTAAAAAAATCATGGAATTGGGTGGGCCTAAAAAAAGCTCTCTTAGTGCCAACGGAGCGGAAAGAAACAAAAAATAAATAAATATAGAATGCTATTATTCTTATATACTTTTATATTATATTAATATGGAATTTCTATTTATTTTTGTTTAGTGAAGGATCCTGAAAAAATTCAACAATAAATTTCTATTTTATCATTGAGCAAAATAGAAGTTTCTGATTTAATTTCATTAACTTTTCGGTTTTTGTTACCCGTCAAAAATTTTAAAAAAATAAATAAATTCATGTTTCTATGTATTAAAAACATTTACAGTCGACCCCCGTATAACACTATTGATTATTCCGTTTTATATGAATTCCATGTTGTACGAGTCACTTAGATTTTACAAATACGTGTGCCGGGCTGTAAACGGCTCACGTATTTGTAAAATCTAAGTGACTCGTACAATATGGAATTCATATAAAACGGAATAATTAACAGTGCTATGGGGGGGTCGACTGTATATAATAAAAATCATTTAAATAGAAACAATATTTTATCTTAACGAACTTAGGTTAGATCAGATTCTGTTTATAATGTTTATTTTATATTGTTTATATATAGCCTATAGGCCTATATACAATTTTTTATGAAGAACAATTTTTTTTTAAGTTCACAAATGCAATTTAATCAGTTAAAAATTATATTTAATTATTAATTAATAATATTTGGATAATTAATATTCGAGTTAAAGACTTGAAAGTTTTAGTGGTAACATATCAGTTAGCATATCGTAAGAGGTATTTTCTTGTGAAATAAACTATTGGATCTACAGTTCAAGGGAAGGTTATCGATCATTTACTTTAACTAATAAAATTGATATTATCGTCACGCTAAAACTTTAATCCCCATAAACTTAAATTTTTAAACACATTTAAATATTATCGGCTTGTAACTAAGCGATGGAAATTAAATACAGGCCAATTATCATAATACTGTATCAGTTGCGCGTTATAACTTCGTGAGATCCAAGCCAATTTGAATTAGGGGGTGCCCCATGTAATGCATTGACATTACATGGGGCACCCCCTAATTCAAATATTTTCTTTAAAAAAATTGGTTTGGGCCTCTTGTTAATGGGAAATTGCTCTTTTTTTTTGCCCATAGGATAAGGCCCCAATGTACTGTATGTAAATTATTTTAATACATTAATAAAATGGCGACAGGATAAGTGTCGATTTTTAATAATAAATTGATAATTATGCTATATTTTTAGAATACAGTAGGGTGGGAGCGTTTGGCATAAACAAGAAGGTATATTTATAGTTGAATTAGAAGGAAAATAATTTATTAAAATTAAAGCTTCACGTCTTTAATACTACGTGAATTTAAAAATTTGTTTATAATATTAGACCTATTTAAAGAGATGCTAGAAAATAATGTAGATGTATGTTTACTCATCACAGCCAGTGATGGTGATTGGATATTTTTTTAGTTATATGAACCGCACTATCAGTAAATGTTAGAGAGGAGAGTGAAAGGTCAGCTTGCCCAGTCATGGGTTTATGGGCAGCTTTCCTATCCTGTGCGGTCCTAGCGGGACTGGGCTACGCGGATAGAAGGGTTGACAGTCGTTCGTGTTTCCAATCATCTTATAGTGAAGCTTCTATCTACAACTTCACAATACCGAACCTTTTCGAAACGAAAAACATAAGTTTGTCGCAGTTTCGAGGTCAAGTTGTTTTAATCGTCAATGTGGCCACTTACTGAGGTTTCACTTGGCACTACGGCCAACTGAATGCACTACAAGAAACTTATAACGGTTTTACCGTATTAGGTTTTCCTTGCAACCAATTTTGGATGGTAAGTTTACCTTTTTAATTAATGTATAATCGATTCAAACGTGCAAATATGATCGAGTAGTTAGGATATATTTCTACGTCGTTTATATATATATATATATATATATTAAATAATGAGATAGAAGAAAGGAAGTTGTTTATTTCAGATTGATAATTTAACACGTGAGAAATTAAAAACTGGTGTAAATTAAATTCTTTTTAAAATTTTTTATATAACTAATTATTTATCCATCTATTCGTCTTCAAAGAACAGTAATAACAAAGTAAAACTAATGAATAATTCTTTTTCTGGTTTATATACGTGATTAATTATTAATTATTACATACAATTACTATTATTTTTTTAATTTATTCCCTTATTAATTTCAAAAATAATGTTATTAGCTGACTACTTGTAACAAACGTTACAATTACATAATCGGCTTCGATTATCCGAACGCCGATTAACCGAATGTCTAATTATCCGAATCACCACTTTCCCTTCTTTCCTTCTCCCAACAACGTCACACTGCAATTTTCTTACGTCATTCTACCGCGTGATCAGTGATGCCTATTTGCCGCGACAGATCCAAACGATCGGTAAGGTGCTATTCGCATATTGATCAGTAAATGAATACAGTACGTGTACAATACTGTGAAGAAACCCTCTAAATTCATTCTTTACGTGTTAATCCACTTATTTAAATCACCCTGCTGAACGAAAATTCCATTACATCGGATGCTTAATTAAATATCAGCAAGTGAAACGAAAAAAAGCCACTTGAAAGTGATATACTGTATATTTTTTTCTGATAATTGATGTTGAAGTCCATAACTATCAAATTACTTCCATCTGACTTGAACGTAATCTTAATTTGCGATCTTCTTATCAATGGAAAAACAAAAATCTTACTTGAAAACATCCGTTCGAATACAGAATAAGACCGCTCTTCATTCATGGTCACGAGGAAGATTTTGCTTCCATATGTTTTGATAAACTAACTTTTAAAGAATAAGACAGATTGTCACGCATTGTTTACATTAAAGTTGGCAATTTTTTGGTTAGGCCCACAATTGGGTAGCTAAATGGTGAGGAAAGACCATTTCCAAAAATTCTTGGGATTTATGGGTGCCATCCTATCGTTTTGCGTAGGATGGCACCCATAAATTGTTAATAAATATACTTTTTTAATCAGAAAACTTTTGATATTTTAACTTCAGCAAGAACCTGGAGGAGATGGCAAAGAGATCTGGAATGGTATAAAACACGTTAGACCCGGTAACGATTTTACACCGAATTTTCCAATTTTCAAGAAGATCGACGTTAATGGAGAGAAAGAGCATCCACTTTACACTTATCTGAAGGTAAGTAATATTTATTTAAATTTTATAACATTCGAGTGATACTAAATCATTTTGTTTTACAGAAATTCTGTCCTCCAACCAGAGATTCATTTGCACCACAAGAAAGGCTTTTCTACACCCCATTAAACAGTAGAGATATACGCTGGAACTTTGAAAAATTTCTTATAAATCGTAACGGTAAACCCGTAACGCGTTACGATCCGAGCGTGCAACCTCAGATGATAGCTAGAGATATCGAACATCTTCTCGCATCAGAATAAGATTTAAAAAAATTTATATTGTAATTTACTCTTTATCTCTTGTTATGAAGAATAAATCAGCACCTGTCACTCGACAGTTGGTTTATTCCGATGTGTATATTTTCCAATTTAGTCTTGTGCATTCGACTTAATTGGGAGATTTACGTCTTGAAAGATAAAGAGTAAAACTCTTAATTGTCATCTATCATTAAGCAATTGTTTAATATTTTATACATATATATTATTTTTTCGGAAAAGTAAATAGTTATATGGCTTATAAACATACTACAAAATCATTTTAAAATACAAGTCGACCCCCCCTATAACACTGTTGATAATTCCGTTTTATATGAATTCCGTGTTGTACGAGTCACTTATATTTTACAAATACGTGTGCCGGGCTGTGAACGGCTCACGTATTTGTAAAATCTAAGTGATTCGTACAACACGGAATTCATATAAAACGGAATTATCAACAGTGTTATAGGGGGGTCGACTTGTATAACTTACGGTCAAATGTAATTTTAAATCCTATTGAAATAAATTGATTTGTATATTTTTAAAGTCTTCATTTATTCTTTAATAAAATTTAAAATAATTTATCTGAAGATTAGTTTTCACGAGATTGGATTGGACTAATGAGGGATTAGGCAACGTGTGAGGTTTGACGATTGGGGAGAAAGTGTCACGACAATTGAGCGGTCAGCACTGTCGCTTGGGAGTGGAAAAACTTATTGAGACAGGTCCTCCATCGCAAACAGTTTATTAAATATAAAAATTACGCTTACAATTACTGATTTACTTCGGCGTAAGGCCTATCCGAAGAGTGAATCATTTCGCAAATAAAGTTCAATTGTTTTGACGATCTTCTCTTCTTCCGGCGAAGAAGATGAGGTAAACGTAAGCTCCGGGGCACACAGCACAACTTGTAAGGGTGATTCTCGTGGCAGGCTATCCTTGGCGAAACTTGCAGGGACGGGATGGCGAAAACTTCTTCAGGAACGTCGACCAAGTTTCCGTTGTTGAACCGCAGGAAAATAATAATAATTATTGCGTATTAATTATTTTTATACGAAAACATTTTCTGTGCATGAATTTCGACCCACTTCCGGAGCTTCACAAATGCAACACATGGGAGATCTGTCAAGGGGAAATGACGCCCGAGAAAACTTTTTATGTGCCACTTCTACGAAGCTTTAATTTTTTAATAATCATTTTTGGTTTTTCCGCTCTGTGGGCACTAAGAAGGCCTTTTTTTCATAACCATAGTGGGATGGCTTAGGCCCATAATGAGAGCGACCGAGTAGTGAGAGACGAAATGCGATTTATTCGGATGGATCGCCCATGAAAACTTTCCGTAAATTTTCGGCCTTCCGGATCCGATTATATGGGTTCTTCAGAGTAATTGGTTAACCTTATACGCATTGGTCATAGGAGATCCCGCCTTAGATTTTAAGATACAGTATTAACGAAAATTAAGAGAAAATGGATTTGTACAGTATTTATATTAAGAAATTAACTATTTTATAAATTCTTTCAAAGTCTTCTTCTTCTGTCCGTGTCTTCTCCTAAGGGAGGTTGGCGGCCAGCAAATACCACTGTTTTCTTTTGTGATTTTTATGAATAATTTCTTCCGGATCAAGTCCCGTACATTCCTTGAGGTCGGAACGGATACTCGTGCCACGATATATCCAGAACTTCTTGGTATTGCTCACCCGGATTCGATACTGGCCCTTCTGGGACCTCAGAGCGGTAGATTTAAACTGCATCCTCTCATCCGGCCGTCTTATCATCATAATCATCATGGGAAGGTAAAAATGTTTCTAAGTTTGTTTAAAATTAAAAGACGATTGTAAACAACAAATAAATTTGTAAATATTGTCGAATGTAGAGCTTGGGAGTCGCGATCAAGTTCATACGAGGGCTTATCAGCAGAAGAATAATTAGCAAAATTGGAATGAAATGGTAAGTTTGAACCAGAAGATGATATTCAAGATCGTCAGAATCCCAGCATCGAAAGCATACAAAACCACAATGTAATAACCGAATTGGAAGAGGCTGAATTATTAACATAAACAGTAACAAGCTGTAATCAACGGCACCCGAAGACTATAAAAAAAGGGAGACACAAGCTATAAAAATGTGCATCTTCTAACTGTATGATTCAACGTCAGATTGGCGTTGTGACATACTACGAAGTTGCACTGGTCAATGGACAAATATCGTTCATTAATTTCTTTTATACTTGCAGAATAGGCTAGAAGTTACGAATTTTCTGTTGTTTGGGGCCCCTGTGGGATTAAATTAAGAAAAGGGCAACCGAGACTAAAAAGTGGACACGTGCACCAATGTGCGGGCGCCCCTGGCTGTAATCCATAAATCATTCTGGAAATGGGTTCGATAAATGGGTTCGAAGAATGGAAAAGAGCACGAATACCTTAAGGTTTTTTTTTTTCAATTTTTACTTGCTCGTATCCTGGTTGCGGGTTAATAAACCCGTCTCCAAAAACTCAAGTCTTCAAATAAGCACCTACGTTTTTAAAATAAACCCGGGTTTTAATCGAGGGATTATGGAATACGTACAGTACTATACATATATGCATGTATGTATACATGTACTGTACGTATTCTATAATTCCCCATAATTTCACGTATTCCACTTGTTTACATACGTACTATACTGTACGTATGTAAACGAGAGTGCACAATATACTATATATATATATAGGCTAGTGTAAGAAATTTTTAAAATCCTTTAATTGTTAATAACTTCTTTGTTTACTTTCTTAATGTTAATTTAATAATTCTATAATCCACAGTAAATATTACAATAAAAATTAAATTATCCATCTGTAAGGCCAATTTTTATCTGAAAATATGTTACAGAATTATGGACTGACAAACTTAAAGTTAATTTCAATTATATTTCAATTCAAATTGCATTGTACTTTTTACGTGTTCCCTGTAAAATGAACAAGGACTTTTTAAGAGAAACTGGCCTCTATTAGGTGTTACAAAGAATGAAGAAAACACGGAAAATACCACGTAAACCAATCAGTTGGCAAGACGCGACCCCCCAACCAAATACCATTGTTCGATGGTTTTTATCCACCAATAGCCGAGTGGATAAAAACCACTTTTTTATTGACCAAAACTTGAGTTAATCATTTTACTTGCAAGATACATTTCGAGCTTTCGGGAATCTTTCGTTGATATTCGTCTCGGATGTGTCGAGTCCCGTCCCTCATCATCCGACCGCTTCTATTGTGGGCCTAGCCAAACCTTAGTCAATGGGTATGTAAAAAGGAAAGTGCCCACAAGAAGGAAAAAGCTTTTAAAAAATTTTAAAATGATTATAAGAGGACAAGACGATATTTTTGTAAGATGTCACTACCAAAAGACTACTAAGAATTTTAACAAAGAAACACTATAAGTAAACACCCTATAAGTAAGTACCCTATAAATAAACACTACTATATAGTAGGGAAATTTTGATGTTTACATACTGTCTTTGTTGATTGTGCAGTCTAAACAGTTTTACTTCTATGTAGGGGTGTTTGAATAGAAATTGATTAAACTATGTGACGTCGGAAAAGTACAGTAGATCCCACTATAACGCGGGTTCCTATAATGTGGATTCCTACAACGCGAAATTCGTATAAAGCGGAACGTATCTACCGCGTTATAGGTGGTCTACTGTAATCAATTTCTATTCCACCATTAAAAAGAACATGTTCAATATGTTTATAAAAAAAATTAAATTAAGTACAAATGATATAACAGGCAAAAACATAGAAATCTAACATATATACCGCATTTTTTTCAATTAAATTATTAACAAATGGCTACATAACCACACAATAAAATAACCGATACCCAAAACACAAATAATTTGTAGAAAACTAGATTATACTCCGATTGTTTTTGAAAATATTCAAACTATGTAATATCATTCTAGCACCCACACCGAATAACAAAATTTCTTAAAAATCAAAGTACAAATTAATAGTAATGCAGATGTTTTGTTAAATAATTGTTTGGTTTACAGCTTCACTTGTACAGTACGTGTCAGCCATAATACTATTACATAAGTTAAACGGGTAGAATGTTAAAAATTCGAATAAGAAAACACGTAAAAGCTGTGAAGCGTGATTACATCAACTCAGCAGTCGCCAACACACACACACACACACACACACACACACACTACAAGATCTCACTTGACAGTATCAAAATTCTTAAAAAAGAAACGAAATTCACAGAATAAATTTAAACACTGTTGTTGTCATCAGTGAGATCTAGAAGACATTAATACCAAAATAGTAGAGTCCATTTTCAGATGTTCTTCCTCCCCCACTCCATTTTAATTCACTGTATCGTATAAAATATCGGACTTTCTGATAAACATACAGTCGACCCCACTATAACAAGGTTAATAATTCCGTTTTATATGAATTCCATGTTGTACGAGTCACTTAGATTTTACAAATACGTGTGCCCGGCTGTGAACAGCTCACGTATTTGTAAAATCTAAGTGGCTCGTACAACATAGAATTCATATAAAACGAAATAATCAACAGTGTTATAGGGGGTCGACTGTACAGTACTTTTACTCCATATTTTTAACCAGTTTTAAAGTTTTTACTACCATTTTTAGTCAAATTTTTAATATATTTTTACAAGTATATCCTCTTATTACTTTTTACATTTTACTGCATTTATTTATTTATTTAATTTATTTCACTTTTACTTATTTTATCCCACGATTTTAATAATTAGTTATTTCAGCTGTCACTATATTAATTTTTGAGTAATTAAAAATTTTTTTACCCCTATGTTAAATATAATTTACTTCATTCTGTGATTTTTTACATAATATTTTGCCGATATATTTAATAAAATAAGAGCCGAAGAGGGGCATAAAACCCGAAATTCGCATCTTTTTTTAAATTATAAAAAATAAACCTACTTTTTCCATCAAAAAGGAGTGTTTCTGTGTGATTTGTTCCCAACATCAACTTCGTGTTAAATTCGGAACATACAAAATTTTCTTTCATCTTCATTTATATCTTCATAACAAATGAACTCAACAATTGACTTTATATTGTTTTGCACTTTTTGTTATGAAGAGTGCGATTTTGAGATTTCGTGAATGTATTTTGATTCTTCTGAGTATCCTCCCTTGGCTGATCCCTTCGGGTGAGAGATTTTTTTTTTAACATTTTATTGCTATTTACTCACATAACAATTTCATAAAAGAAATTATAAGTTTTAAAGAGAATGAGATACGGAAAATTAGGCATTTTCTCAGTATCTTCCACACTGTGCCACAGGATACAACCAACTGCCGTGACATTGCACGTCCTCTACTGAAGCTTGGATATTTATTGACTATTCACCCAATAACTGTGGAAACATCTTCAACATGTGAAATGATAGGTTTATGTCCTCGACCAGACGTTCAATTTCCTTTATCGAGTGATCATTCATCCTTTCTTGTAAAGTCCATGGTCCTCGGCATAAATTCCCAAAATACAGTACATCCACGTGTGCTTATACAGCCGCTTTTCCGTTGCTTGCAGCGTTAAAAGTGCCATAATGTTGAGATTTGATTCTTTTTTTTTTTTACAGAAGTCTTCTACGTGTCTTGAAATGTTACCACACCAGATTGGATCGCATTTAAATTGCTAAATATACTATACAACGTTGAATACATACTTGATATGTATCTATAGGAAAATTTACAGCTGATAACCTTGGATAATTTAACTACATATTCTTCTCTATAAATCATTTCTCTTATAAAAAAAAAGTTATTTAACGAAAGAAATCGTTAGTTTAATTTAAAATCAATCATCTAAACATTATTATTTAGTATCTACAGTTCGAAAAGACTTTGTTTCTTAGTTTGATAAGACCTTCACCTAAATAACTAACAAAAGTTTTCAATACTTTAACAGATAGTAAACAAAATAATCTGTACTTATTATAAAATTGAATAAAACAAGTTTAAATAATGTTTGAAAAGAATATTTTTAATGGAAATTTGCTCACGTATTTCTTTTAATTGAACAGAGTTCCAGTTTTTATTATGGTCTATACATTATAAATAAGATTAAAAATTATGTACAAGTCGACCCCCCTATAACACTGTTGATAATTACGTTTTATATGAATTCCATGTTGTACGAGTCACTTAGATTTTACAAATACGTGAGCCGTTCACAGCCCGGNTAATAGGTTGCGACAGTAAATTAGTACAATATAAATATCACGAGGTAGAAATGGACAGTACATAGATCGCTTCGAACAAAAAGATAAGACGAGATTAGATCTACAAATAGAAAAATAAGAATTATTTCTCAAAATTTTCTAAATTCTGGAGTAAATTTATGTTTTAAATTGATCTCGTGGGTGTCCATAGAACCATGCTGACCTTTCACCTCATCTCTGTTTCTTACTAGAATTGTAACACGTATAATACAGCTGTACTTGGTAGCGCTACTGATTGAGTAAAAGATTCCACAAATTATAATCATAAAGCTGATTGAGTTTGGTTTATTGGTTTATTTGTTTTCGGTAACGCTATACGTGGACGATTTTCCAAAAGGGATGCTTTCCGGGAGGACTAGAAACTGACCCCTATTTAGGTTTTACTAACGTAAAATCCAGAAAATACGTTGGCGAGGCTCGAACTCGCATGTATTTTTAATAGTACACAATTATTTTTATGGCATATAGTAGTCTATTTATTATATTATTCAGGAATACGCTTTGCGCTTATTGTCAAGTGACATTATACAAAATACGAGTGAATCATTTCAAGTTCGATTAAATTTTTATAGTAGAATATTTAATTGAATCGCATGTCTGTATCTGTGCAAAATCATAAATTAAAATCATTATTTCTGTCTTAATATGTCGTATTCATAATATGTAATCGTTATATTTAGTTATAAAAATTAAACTTTTACATTAAAATAAATTCCTGTAGTAAATCTATAGAATAATCAAAATAAGTACAGTAGACACCCCCCATAACACGGTAGATACGTTCTGTTTTATATGAATTCCGTGTTTTACGAGTCACTTAAATACACGAGCCAATCACAGCCCGGCACGTATGCAGTTTACGGATTACGGCTGTTTGAAAGGTTTTCTTCCATAAAATTAATCGATTCTAGACTAATTTCACTCAACATTTCCAAATCACGTATAATTTTTTGGGAATAATCCATATAAACTATGCTACTATAAACAAAAAAATTGTAGGATTACTTACCGAGTGTGCACCGTTCGACGACGCCATTGCTTAAGCTTGTTTTCATCAGTTGACAACTACTACACAACCTCCCATTCAACTGTTATTCATTTTTGAGAAATCCATATTTCTATACTAACGATTTAAAAAGTCATTGGTTTCTATTACCAAGTATAAATAGCATATAAATAGCAATACGATTGAAGTGATATCCTGAATACGCACGTCCTGAATCGAATAGGTTATAACATTTAATTTTTAAAGTCATATTGTATTTAATACACAAAATATGAAAAATGTCCTGATGGACGAATGGCCGACACCAGCTTACTGATCTGGGTAATCCGGAATCTAACCCGAGCGAGCAACTCTCGAGGAAGTTTTCATAGACGAAAAGTACTTGAAATTCCGATCCTATGCTTTCATTGTGGATCTGGTCGAATCCACGATGTACCCATCGTGGATTCGACCAGATCCACAATGAGATGGAAGAAGGCCCTCTTGGAATCTGCAGGATGGATTATTATAAAGATTATTGTTATTCTGTGGGATCATTCTTTTTCTTCAGATAATGAACTGATACAAAAATCTGGAGCAAAAAAAAATTATCAATTGTTATCTAATAGGTCCATATTTTTACACAGAATGGGAACGGGCAAAACTTTCTGGAGTTTATAAGAGATGAACTAGAAACCCAAAGAATGTGGATTCAATTAAATGGGGTGGAAACCCCGTTATACACGAATTGTAGGAAATTATTTAAACTGGCATTTTAGTTGAAATTGGGTTGGACGACGTGGACAGTACAGTGGCCCGCACCATCGTCAAACTTGACTTCGCCTGATTTTTATTTGTGACATATTTAGAGAATTTAATCTATGAACGAGAAGTAACAATTAGATAAGATACGATCGAAAGAATTCGAACAGATTGTTCAAACGAAATGTTTTATTAAAAACTGCGAGACATTTCTATCAGAGATTGACTTATGCATTCATCAAAATGGAGATGTCTTTGAACATTCTTTTTCATAGGAGAAAACTGTGAAATGTATTTTAGCATTTTGCTTTTTTTTTTAATTAAATAAGTTAACTTTTTATATTTGCAATAAAGCATTAGGTTTCAAAAATAAACAAGTATACGAGTGTAACCATGAACTGTCTTGTGAAATTACGCAATGTATCTCTTGCAACTCATTAAATGCTCGTTAAGTAAATTAAGACTGTGTTGACATATTAAATTGGCAGCTAAAAATACATTGGAATATTATTCTAGAATGAGAAATATTTTCGTTTTGTAAAAATATATATATATATATAGATTTAATGTAGTTTTCTTATACTGATTATAATTTTTAAAACTTTTCTTTGTAATAAATAATATAATCCATTTAATTCCACAAATAAGTACTGTATATTTAATAACTTTTATATAAAGGTTACATTGCGCAATTTTCACAAACCTGTTTTAATTAAGTTATATAATTTTTGAAGTAAATATTTAATTATTAAATTATTTAAATAATTAAATATGTAATTAATTAATTAATTAATTAATATTTAAGTATGATACGAAGAGCAAAATGGATAAATAAAAAATGGGGGAGAGAAAGCCATAGAGGAAATGAAAGTAAAATTTTAATTTTAAATGAATGTTTTCTAAACAGACAATTTTATTTTATTTTATTTTTTTAAATTTTTTATAGAGTGAATCATGCATTAATGAAAAATTAACCTTGAAGTAATGTAAAATAGGCTACAGCTAAGTAAGGAAATTTAATATATTGTCAATTTGGGGGGAGAAATGTTTTTATTTATTTATTTTTTTTACATAGATAATTCAATTAAATATAGATTAAAATATAAGAAATAAACTATTTAAATTAGTTTTTTTTTAATATTTTTGCCATCTTCCATCTGTTTGCGCTAAGAGGAATAGGCCCACAATGAGGCCCCAGAGAGGCCTTAACGGCCAGTTATCATTTGAATTAATAGGTTGCGACAGTAAATTAGTACAATATAAATATCACGAGGTAGAAATGGACAGTACATAGATCGCTTCGAACAAAAAGATAAGACGAGATTAGATCTACAAATAGAAAAATAAGAATTATTTCTCAAAATTTTCTAAATTCTGGAGTAAATTTATGTTTTAAATTGATCTCGTGGGTGTCCATAGAACCATGCTGACCTTTCACCTCATCTCTGTTTCTTACTAGAATTGTAACACGTATAATACAGCTGTACTTGGTAGCGCTACTGATTGAGTAAAAGATTCCACAAATTATAATCATAAAGCTGATTGAGTTTGGTTTATTGGTTTATTTGTTTTCGGTAACGCTATACGTGGACGATTTTCCAAAAGGGATGCTTTCCGGGAGGACTAGAAACTGACCCCTATTTAGGTTTTACTAACGTAAAATCCAGAAAATACGTTGGCGAGGCTCGAACTCGCATGTATTTTTAATAGTACACAATTATTTTTATGGCATATAGTAGTCTATTTATTATATTATTCAGGAATACGCTTTGCGCTTATTGTCAAGTGACATTATACAAAATACGAGTGAATCATTTCAAGTTCGATTAAATTTTTATAGTAGAATATTTAATTGAATCGCATGTCTGTATCTGTGCAAAATCATAAATTAAAATCATTATTTCTGTCTTAATATGTCGTATTCATAATATGTAATCGTTATATTTAGTTATAAAAATTAAACTTTTACATTAAAATAAATTCCTGTAGTAAATCTATAGAATAATCAAAATAAGTACAGTAGACACCCCCCATAACACGGTAGATACGTTCTGTTTTATATGAATTCCGTGTTTTACGAGTCACTTAAATACACGAGCCAATCACAGCCCGGCACGTATGCAGTTTACGGATTACGGCTGTTTGAAAGGTTTTCTTCCATAAAATTAATCGATTCTAGACTAATTTCACTCAACATTTCCAAATCACGTATAATTTTTTGGGAATAATCCATATAAACTATGCTACTATAAACAAAAAAATTGTAGGATTACTTACCGAGTGTGCACCGTTCGACGACGCCATTGCTTAAGCTTGTTTTCATCAGTTGACAACTACTACACAACCTCCCATTCAACTGTTATTCATTTTTGAGAAATCCATATTTCTATACTAACGATTTAAAAAGTCATTGGTTTCTATTACCAAGTATAAATAGCATATAAATAGCAATACGATTGAAGTGATATCCTGAATACGCACGTCCTGAATCGAATAGGTTATAACATTTAATTTTTAAAGTCATATTGTATTTAATACACAAAATATGAAAAATGTCCTGATGGACGAATGGCCGACACCAGCTTACTGATCTGGGTAATCCGGAATCTAACCCGAGCGAGCAACTCTCGAGGAAGTTTTCATAGACGAAAAGTACTTGAAATTCCGATCCTATGCTTTCATTGTGGATCTGGTCGAATCCACGATGTACCCATCGTGGATTCGACCAGATCCACAATGAGATGGAAGAAGGCCCTCTTGGAATCTGCAGGATGGATTATTATAAAGATTATTGTTATTCTGTGGGATCATTCTTTTTCTTCAGATAATGAACTGATACAAAAATCTGGAGCAAAAAAAAATT